TGGAAACCAAGGCTCAGGGAATCAGAGGGGCTCACCCAAGCCCACGCCACTGGGAAATGGCAGAGGCAGGATCCCTTTCCAACCAGTGTCCACTGCATGTAGCTTCTGGGCCTTCACCTGCCTGGTTCTGTACCCCACAGAGTGTCACTGGATTTGGGCGTCAGATGATTGAGAAAACCAAGCAACTGGTTGAGTCCAAGTACACGGTGGAGAATGGTTACAGTTCAGATGCCAAGGTCAGGAACTGGCCTGCCCACCCACACCTGGGGGCAGGTGGGCTTTGGGGGAGCTGGGCCCGGCCCCTGGTTGGCAGAAAGCATCCTCCCTCTCACCTTTTCCCAGGTGGTGTATGGTGACACTGACTCAGTCATGTGCCGGTTCGGTGTCTCCTCTGTGGCTGAGGCGATGGCCCTGGGACGGGAGGCTGCAAACTGGGTATCCGGTCACTTCCCACCACCCATCCGGCTTGAGTTTGAGAAGGTACATGGAACCCCCTGCATTCCACTCAGTGGGTTTTGCCTGGCTCAGCATCTCTGATTCTCAGGGTGCCTACAAAGCTAAGAGTGCACAGCTTGGTGTGCCCTGGTGCTGCTCGGGCCTCTTGTCTTGGGGAACCTCATCAGACTGTTCCACATACCATAAACCCAGTATCGAGTGCTTTGCTACCTGGTTTCTCCTGAATGTGGTCTGAGCTTTGGAACTGCCAGGCCTGGGCCTTTGTTATACAATATAGCATTCGTGTGTTGAAAACCTGGTCATGGGCTAGGGGTGTGGCTTGGTGGTAGGGTGTCTGCCTGGCACGCAAGTAAGGCCCTGGGTTCCATCCCAATTACTACAAAAAGAAAAAAAATCTTGTCACAGTGTACCTGATTTGGGGGATTCCCAGTATCTGTCAGATATAGTGGTGGTCCTTGGGAGGTCCACCTGTGTCTGTACCACTGTCTGGTGTCCCCAGCTCCAGGGTGCACCTACTGTGTGACTTGGAGTCCTCACACTGTCCTTTCCCCCACGGCTCAAACACTGACTAATATGGAGCTTCTTGTTGAGAGGGACTCTGTTATCTGGACTTGGTCTCTTCTCCCTTTGAGGGGACACCTTGTTGTACCCCTGCTTTGATTCCATGTTTCAGGGGCCACCTCTCGACCTATCCCACTGTTTCACATTGGGGGTTTCTGGGATGTTGAGGGTGCTCAGAATCAACCCTGGGCTCCACCGCATCGGGCTCTGGCTTCCTGGAGCCTGTGCCTCAGGCCCTGCCCTGCCTGTCCTTTTTCTGGGAGGAGCCTCAGAACTGTGGGCGTCCCCAGTCTCAGGGGTCTCTGCCATGGGTCTCTCCCAGGTCTACTTCCCCTACCTGCTTATCAGCAAGAAGCGCTACGCTGGCCTGCTCTTCTCTTCCCGCCCAGATGCCCATGACCGCATGGACTGCAAGGGCCTGGAGGCTGTGCGCAGGGACAACTGCCCCCTCGTGGCCAACCTGGTCACTGCCTCATTGCGCCGCTTGCTTGTGGACAGGTATGTGGACTACCCAGACCCCAGCCTCCTCCCTTAGACCCAAGGTTCCAGCTCCCTGTCCTCCTGTCCCCTGGGAACCTGAGTGTCGGGCTCAGCTCTCCTCTGGTGCACAGGCTTGCACGGCTGAGTGACACCTGCCTTGCCACTCGTGGTCTCTGGTCTGGCCCCTCCCTGCCCTGAGTCTCAGCCCACAGAGCCCATCCTGGTGCCTTCACTGGCTCCAGTCTGAATCTGCCACTGGTGACACCTGCCTGTCTGGCCCACCCTACCCCCAGAGACCCCGAGGGCGCTGTGGCCCACGCAAAGGACGTCATCTCAGACCTGCTGTGTAACCGCATCGACATCTCCCAGTTGGTCATCACCAAGGAGCTGACCCGCGCCGCAGCCGACTACGCTGGCAAGCAGGCCCACGTGGAGCTGGCCGAGAGGTCTGCTGGGTGGCTGGGCGTCCAGAAATAGCCCCTCCTGCCAGCTGGGCCCACCACTTCCTGCACACCCCCCACCCTCACCCGCCCGCCACCTTGGTCTCCCCACAGGATGAGGAAGCGCGACCCCGGGAGTGCACCCAGCCTGGGCGACCGTGTCCCCTACGTGATCATCGGAGCTGCCAAGGGCGTGGCTGCCTACATGAAGTCCGAGGTCAGGCCCACCTGGGCTGCCTGCTGCCTCCCGGTTCTGCGGCTCTCACTTCTGCTTTCCAAGATGGGCGGGCCCCATGGGCCCTGAGAACACCCCCATACGCCCCTGGGACACAGTTCCAGGAGGCTTTGCTCCCAGTGTCTCAGGCGCTGCAGTGTGCCTAGTCATCCTGCCCCTCCCCTGCCTCCTGCAGAAAGGGGTCCCCTGCGCTCCTGGCTGGCTCCCCCGTGGTTTCTGTCTCCCTGGTTCTGCTCAGCCCTGACTCCCTTAATTCATCACCACCCGCTTCCCACAAAGAAGTGTGCTGACCCAGCTTTCAGCCCATGGCCCCTGACTCCTGTGACCCCTTCCACAGCTTTGCCTCCTCCCCTGAACTCTGGCACTTCCTTGGTGACCAGAGGGCCCCACCTGTGGCTTCCAGCATGGGTTCACAGAGCAGGCCTCTTCTGTGACTTCTGACCCCATTCCAGTCCTGCTCAGCCTCGCTACGCCTCCAGGGTGGTGCCCCTCGCCACTGCCCCCTGACCAGATGAGCCCTCAGGGGCCCACACGCTGCCATGTGGCCTCCCGCAGGACCCCCTCTTCGTGCTGGAGCACAGCCTGCCCATCGACACGCAGTACTACCTGGAGCAGCAGCTGGCCAAGCCCCTCCTGCGCATCTTTGAGCCCATCCTGGGCGAGGGCCGCGCAGAGGCCGTGCTACTGCGTAAGAGCCAGGGGCTTGGGAAGTGGAAGGCACCAACGGGCACAGCTGCCTGACCTCGCCTCACGACCTCCCCTCCCACAGGGGGTGACCACACACGCTGCAAGACGGTGCTCACGGGCAAGGTGGGTGGGCTCCTGGCCTTCGCCCAGCGCCGCAGCTGCTGCATCGGCTGCCGCACGGTGCTCAACCACCAGGGTGAGACCCCAGCCCCTGTCACTGATGCAAGGTGGTCAACACACCTTGGCCCTGAGTCGGGGGCTCCCCTCTGCCTGCACCCCCACCCGAGGGTCCTCACCCGCACCCTGGGAGTTCCCCAGGGGAGTTTTCCCCACACACTCCTTCCGTTGTTCTCCAGCCTCCGGGGACTTTCACAAACCGGGATGGGCAGCGGGTGGGGAAGGGACAGGAATGGGGTGGCCTGGGCCCTGGCTCAGTGCCAGCACCCCTGTGCTGACCCAACCCCCCCACCAGGAGCCGTGTGCAAATTCTGCCAATCCCGGGAGTCAGAGCTGTATCAGAAAGAGGTAAGGGACAGAGCCTGGGGGCGGGAGCAGAGGGGCTGGGCTGCCCTACTCAGCCCCTGCCATCCCCAGGTGTCCCACCTGAACGCTCTGGAGGAGCGCTTCTCCCGCCTCTGGACCCAGTGCCAGCGCTGTCAGGGCAGCCTGCACGAGGACGTCATCTGCACCAGGTGTGCACTCGGCCCTCTGCTCCCAGCCTGTGGCACAGGGACCAAACTCCTGACTCCCTGTCACTGCATCGCCTCTGGGCCTTAGTGGGACAGGGTCCTGGTGCTGGCCCCTGGAAATGGCCATCTTCCCAATCCACCTCCCTCCCCCAGGGTGGGGCTGGGCTTTCCCCAGGGAACAAATGGGCGGGGTGGGTTCCCACGCCAGGTGACAGGTGATATACAGCCACCCAAGCCTTGCCAGGCACCCGCTGTTATCGGCTCCCCCCATGCCACTGAGCAAACAGCCCCCAGAGGAAGGGGGCAGCAGGCGGGGGCCAAAGTCCTGGGAACAGCCCTGGGGTGGTTGCCTGTGGCCCCCCACCCCCGCCCCAATCCTGGGCTGGGTTCTGGCGGGGCCACCCAGCTGACCACACCCACCTCCGCAGCCGGGACTGCCCCATCTTCTACATGCGCAAGAAGGTGCGGAAGGACTTGGAGGATCAGGAGCAGCTGCTGCGGCGCTTTGGCCCCCCTGGCCCTGAGGTCTGGTGACCTGGAGGCCCCCCGCGGGGCGTTAATAAAATTAAGGCCTTTTCCTATGTGGTTCTTTGTGGTCTCTGGGGGAACGAGGTCCAATTTCATGAGCCCTGGCTCCCTGGGACCCTGGAGGCCCCAGTTGGGTCTCCTCTCCCACAGGTGAGACCCTGAGGGTCCACTCCTTCCCACTGCCAGGCCTGTGGGGCCCCGCCTGCCTCTGTTGCCCCTCCACCTCTGGGTGGGCATCTCTGCCAGGCTCTCTGCTCAGGGGGCCAGGTGTCTGGCCCCAGCCTGCCCCTCCCTGGGGGCTGGGTGGCCACCCCTCCTGCCAGGTGCTAACCTGTTTCCTCTGGTCCCTGGGGCAGCCCCTGACAAGAGGGTTCCACTCCCTGGCTCCACCAAGGGGACACCCCTGCCATGTCACACCCACAGATGTTTCCACTGTGGGGTCCTGATGGTCGGTTCCAGCTTGAGTCCCCCCAGGCAGTGTCTATGAGGTCCCCTTGTGCCCACAGAGCTGTCTCCACAGCCCCTGGTGCTTGTGCTGTCCTGCTCCAGCTGCCTCTTGTCACCCTATCCTGTGGTGGCTGGCCCCTGGCACTCTGCTTCTGAGATTTGACTCCACGGTCCAGAGCCCCCTGTCCTGATCTCTCCTCACTGACCACAGCCACATCTGTTCCTTTTTCCATCACCCCACCAAATCCAGTTATCCCATCTCTACCACCCAGAGCCAGCCCCCAAAAATGGGGATCCCCAAATCCAGACGGCCTGTGGGTCTGCCCTTCCCACCACATGACCAAATGCATTGTGCAATCCAGCCCCTTCCCCTGACCCCTCCCCAAGGGGATTTTTGGGGCGTGCCCAGTGCTCCGCCCCTCCCCTGGGGGCTGGGCCAAGGTATATAGAGGGGTGGCAGCTGCCGCCCACAGCAAGTCCAGCTGCCCGGCACCAACATGCTCGCCCTGGAGGCTGCACAGTAAGTGGGTCCCCCTAAGCCCACATTGGGACCCCCATCCTGCGCCACCCCCTGGGCCCCTCCTCCAGGCCCCATCCTCATGGACGCCTGCCCCGCCCAGGAGCAGGTGGATGGAACCGGGGTCCACGCTGCCTTTGCCCTGATTCTTTCACCACAGACTTCCCTCCCTTCTTCCCAAGCCTGCTTCTCCAGGTCCCCAGAAGTGGCATCTGGGGACACTTGCTGCTCTCCTCTCGGGCCATGTCCTCTCCCAGGTGGCCCTGTGTCTGTCTCCGGGCCTCCCTGCCATGTCTGTTCTGTTCCTCGGGCTCTGCTCTCCGCCTCTTGCTTCCTCTTGTTTCCTCCCTTCAGTTCTGTCCCCCGGCTTCTCTCCTTTGGTCGGTCCCCACCACCCTATCTACATTCCTGGGGCCAAGAAATATCTTGTCCCTGTGCAGGAGTCTCTTTCCATGCCTTCCTCCTCTTCCCACTTCCCACTCCCCCTCATCTGGTTCCCTGTCTCTCTTTCCCTCTGCCCAGACATTTCTCCCTGGTCCAAGTCGGACCCATTTGCCAGACTTGCCCACTAAGGGCCCTGGCCAACCCCCACCTGCTGGTGCCCAACCTCCTCTCGGGGACTTTCTCTTCTTCACTTTCCCTGCCCCCCTGCAGCTTTTGTCTATGCAAATTCTGGGGAGGGGGGGACATTTGCCTGGCCCCCCCACTTCCTGTCCTGGTGGGGGAGTGGGGGGTGAATGTGGCGGGGCTGGTCTCACCCAGGGACACCCAGCAGACTTCAGAGCTGCAGTGGCACAGCTGCTGCCACCTCCCCCATCAGCCCCCAACCAGTTGGAGACTCAGGTGGCTGAGGGTGGCTCTGACATGCCCCTGTGTCTCTCCCCTGCCAGGCTCGATGGGCCACACTTCAGCTGTCTGGTAAGTTGGGTCCCCTGGGGTGGGGCCTATGGCCCTCCATGAGCCCCTCAGGTCACCTCTGCCTCAGTTTCCCCTTCAGTGCCTTCTTCTCTCTTTGTCTTTCTGAACTCCTGCTTGTTATCTTCCCACCCTGTTCCCATCCCAGACCTATTTCTGATTTCTCTATCCCTTTTGCAAGCTCTGAGACCACCCTGGGACTTGAGTGTCTGTCTGTCCCATACTTGGCAAGTGTATTCATTCCTCTTCCTGACTCCCTACTCCTAGTACTGGAGATTGAACCCATGGTGCTCTATCACTGAGCCTCAGTCCTTTTTGGGGGGTAGAGGGTACTGGGATTGAACCCCGGGGGCACTCGGCCACTGAGCCACACCCCCAGCCCTATTTTGTATTTTATTTAGAGACAGGGTCTCACTGAGCTGCTTAGTGCCTTGCTTTTGCTGAGGCTGGCTTTGAACTCATGATCCTCCTGCCTCAGCCTCCTGAGTCACTGGGATTACAGGTGGGGGCCACTGTGCCCAGCAGTCCTTTTTAATTTTGATTTTGAGATGGGGTCTGCCTAAGTTGCTGAGGCTGGCCCTGAACTAGAAGTCTTCCTGCCTCAGCCTCCAAAGTAGCTGGGATTATAGATGTACACCACCACACCTGGCTTTTAAACTTTTTTCCTTTATTCCATAATTCTTCAAACACAGAAAATACTATACCCAACTTCCCAGGAGCCACAATTCAGTCCAAGAGAGAAAACCTTCCTGATGTGGTTGAAAGAAAACTACTTCTGGATCACTTCCCAGCCTCGAGGTTTTTTTTTTTTTTTTTTCTTTTTTTTTCCCCAATTGAATATAAGTTACACATCAGCTGACTGTCCACGTTTGTGTATGTCCATGAGTTTTCACATTGTCACACCTTGCCACCATTGACCAGATGCAGATCCAGAACATTCCCATTATTCCAGAATAGAGCATTCCCTCATGTCCCTTCCCAGGAAATACCTGCCTGGCATCATCGATTGTTTTGCCTATTTTTTTTTTTAAAGAGAGAGAGAGAGAATTTTTTTAATATTTATTTTTTTTTAGTTTTCGGTGGACACAACATTTTTGTTTGTATGTGGTGCTAAGGATCGAACCCGGGCCGCACGCATGCCAGGCGAGCGCACTACCGCTTGAGCCACATCCCCAGCCCTGTTTTGCCTGTTTTTGAACTTTATATGAAATGACTCATGCAGCAGGTCCTGTTGGGGACTTGACTCTCTTCCCTCTACATTAAATGTGGCTGTTCTTTTTCCTTGCTGTATAGTACTCTAGCCAACTATGCCACAGCTTGTTCATTCATCCTGCTGGGGACCCTGCTTCCGGTCTGGAACTCTTAACAAAACTGCTCTGATTATTCCTGACCAAGGCTCTTCTGTGGGCAAGGTTTTCAGCTGTCCTGGGCTTACGGGGGCTGCAGGGTCACAGGGATGGTGGATATTGATGCTAGCTTTAGTGTCCACTAGATCTCTGAGGCTCATGCAACACATGACTCTTGGAACAACCCAGAGCAGCACGGAGGTGTTTTAAGGAAGTGTGGAGCCCTCACCCCTGCCACACCTCCTCAGCACCCTGTCATACCGACTGCACGTAGACCGGCTGCCAGGTCCTCAGGAGCCACGACTGTGCTGGGGGCGACTGCTGTGTGTCCTGCTCACAGTGTGCCTGTCTCCGCTCCTGCCTCTCCCTGCCTGACTGTGGTACCTGGTCTCTGAGTCTCTCTGCCCTCACCAGCCTCTCCTCTTCCTGTGGCTCTGTCAGTCTCTCCTGGGGTCCAGGGTGGAGATGGGGCTCCCTGAACCCCGGGTTGATCCTCTCCCCCCAACCCCAGCAGTACCCAGATGGCGTCTTCTACGACCTGGACAGCTGCAAGCACTCCAGCTACCCCGACTCAGAGGGGGCTTCTGGTGAGTGGCGCTGGCCCAGACCCCTCCCCACCTGGGCCTTGGGCCCATTTCACAGATGGGGAAGCTGAGGCTCAAGGGAGGTCTCATGTGGCATGGTAGAAGGGTGGCCCAGGCTTCCAGACCGCCTCCCCTTCCTCTCCCCCACATCACTCCCCCCATGCAAATCCTGGGGTCAGAGATTTGCACAGCCCACAATAGTCCCTCTGTGCTGGGGACTCTGAGTGGGAGGGGGCCTCCTCAGACCTCCTGGCTTCTGACTCAGTGCTTTCTCCCAGACTCTCTGTGGGGCTGGGCCGAGGCCCCCCCTGTCCCAGCCACCTCCTATGAAGGCTTTGACCCAGCAATGGCCACCTATGGTCATCCCTCAGCTGCCCAGCTCTGCTATGGACCCTCAGCCTACAGTCCTGCAGGGAATCTGGACCCAGCTCCCAGCCTGGAGGCCTCTGGGCCCAGCCTCCCAGCATACCCCAGCGAGGACTTCACCAGCCAGGTGAGGGGCAGGGGACAATGAAAACCAAAGCCATCATCTGGTGCAGGTGTCCGAAGGGCCAGGCACTGTGCTCAGCCAAACCTGGGCATACAGCAACCTTCTTGTTCCTTCAGTGCCCCAGGGCAAGAGCTGTCCCTGTTCCAGTGCACCAAGGGGCTGCCCAGACTGGCCCTGTGTGCTGGCCAGGCCTTAATGGAGGCAGCTCAGGTGTCCCCTGGCCTGGACATGGAGATATGATCCAAGGCCAGCATCCAAACTAAAAATAAAATGGAGACAGAGCAAAGAGAGCCTCAGAAAAGGGAGAGGGAGGGAGAGAGGGTCCCTGGATATGCAGGTGACACTGGCCTTCCACAGACTCTGGGCCCCCTGGTGTGTGCCCCGTACCCCAGCCCAGTGCTGTCAGAGGAGGAAGACCTGCTGCTGGACAGTCCTGCCCTTGAAGTCTCAGACAGCGAGTCGGACGAGGTCCTCATGACTGGCCCTGAAGGAAGGGGATCCGAGGCAGGTACGTGGGAGTGGGGAGGTGGAGGAAATGCCCAATAGAGACAGAGGGAGGGTCTGAAGGAATCATGGCTTCTCCTACTGTATTCTGCACCTCTGAGAGTAGGTTCCAGATCCATGCCACCTGCTGGCTGTGTGACCTTGGGCAAGCACCTCCACCTCTCTGTGCCTTGGTTTCCAGTCTGCACAGAGGGAATGACTTTGAGTGGGAGGGGGGCCTTCGAGTGACTTTGAGTGATAGTCAGTACCCCCCGCGAGGCTGTAGGGAGGACTAAATGGGTTTGTAGGTGCAGATGGGATAGCACTGGGTGGCACAGTGAGTGCCCAGTATGTCCATATCTTCACCATCATTACCAAGGCAAGAGCCGCAAAAGGAATCCCAGGACCCACCCCCAATTTGTTAACCCTTGCTGCTGCCCACAGTCTATATCTCACACCCAACTGGGAAGTTGGCCACGGATTGTGTTTGCCAGTGGGCCTGTTTCCCATCTGTGAACTGGGCGTCGCTGTCCTCATCCCTGTCTTGTGGGTTATGATGAAAATGAAATGACCTCACATTTGGAAAGTGCCCAGTGAGACACCTGGAGTCAAAAGCTCCCTCGAAATTTATAACAGTAAAATAAGCCCGCACGGGAGCCCACTTTCGACTGAGAAGACTCCAGCTCAGAGAGGTTGTCACCACCTCCGATCACAGTGCTGAGACAGGGCAGGTGGGCGTGCCCCATTTTGAAGTCACCAGTTTTGTGGGGCCGTTGCTGCTTGTAGGAGCCCAGGAGTCCTATGCCCTGGCCTCTCCCAGGACCCCACCTTGCCTGGGGCAGAGAGGTTAGGGTTAGACTAGGAGCTGGAGAATCGGTCTTGGGGTCCAAGCTGACTCCAGGGCGCCCGCCAGTCGGTCCCATAGGAGCGCGGTCAATACCACGCAACGCCCGGTTCCATCCCCAGGACCATAAACAAGACCAAACGAGTGCAGAGCAGGGAACAGGGCACACAAATCCTGAAGGCCGAAGCAGGGCAGAGGGGAGCTAATGGCTTCAGGAGGGGGCAGAGACAGGTGTAGCCAACGGCCAACTCCCCAGACCCAGAGGCTGGGGCGGAAGCGGGCGGGGCCGGAGGGACGTCCGCTGACGTGTGTCCCGCGCTGCTGCAGGGGCCCGCAAGAAGCTGCGCCTGTACCAGTTCCTGCTGGGGCTGCTGACGCGCGGGGACATGCGCGAGTGCGTGTGGTGGGTGGAGCCGGGCGCCGGCGTCTTCCAGTTCTCCTCGAAGCACAAGGAGCTCCTGGCGCGCCGCTGGGGCCAGCAGAAGGGCAACCGCAAGCGCATGACTTACCAGAAGCTGGCGCGCGCGCTCCGCAACTACGCCAAGACCGGCGAGATCCGCAAGGTCAAGCGCAAGCTCACCTACCAGTTCGACAGCGCGCTGCTGCCGGCCGCCCGCCGGGCCTGAGCGCACCGAGCCTCGCCTGTGGAGCCGCTTGGGGACCTCATGGCTCAGCCAGGACCCCTCCAGAGTCCCTGGGTCACCTTGGCGTCATGGCACTCTAGGACATAGGATCCATGGATCCCTACATTTGGGGTGGGGGCTGCCACAATCCCTAAGCCCTGCCCAGGGCCCCTCTAGGACTCCCCAGTGTGTTTCTGGGACTCTTTTGTCATGTACAGGATCCCCCAGGATCGTCATGTTTTGAGTCACAGGACCTATGGACCACTGTATTGTGTGTGGCAGGCAGGGGGGTGGGGCATGGGCAGTGTGTCCAGAATTCCAAGAACTTCTGGGGGATTCCCCTTATGTCTGAGGTCCCCTCCATCCAGGCCAGTCACCTCTTTGAAGCCCCTTGTGTGTCTGTGAACCTTCAATCTCATCAGATCATCACACCAGGAGGGGGTGCTTCCAGAAACCTTAAACCCTGGGGTGGGGCGTGGGGTCCCTTTGGGATCCCCTTCTCAATTCTGGATCCCTGTTGTCAGATCTGAGGTCCCCTGGTTACGTCTAAAGCCCTCTGTGGAACCCTTTATCTTCCCAGATCTCTGTCCATCTATGGTTCTTGTCACTCTGTACCCCCAGATCCCTTTGCCGTTTTTGAGATCCCCTGTTCTATGGAATCACTCTACTATCACTTTTGAGGGGCGGGGGGGGGGAGTCTGGAACTCTCTAATCACATCTACAGCCCCTTTGTGATCCTTTGGTTATGTCTGAAATGACTTGTTAGGGTCTAGGGTTGGGGTAGGGGTTCAGTAGCACTTAGTTTGGGCCCCTCTTGTCATATCTGGGATCCTCCAGTCACATCTGAGACAACCCCCCCTCAGGGGATCCCTTAGAAGTCCCAAAGGAGGTCTGAGATCTCTGGACCTTCCTGGGGTGCCCTTTGTAGGCCCCTGTGAGCACCCTTCTGCCACCACGGGGATTTCTGTGTGTTGGGCGGCCTCCCCCCTCCCATGGCAATTCTAGGGAGAGGTCTCAAGCTGGTGAATCCCCACCCCCACCCAGGCAAACTAGGTCCCTGGTGGTGTTTTCTTTAGTTCACTGAAGCGTTTTGAGGGGAAGAACCTGAATTAACAGCCAATCTTTGAAATAGGGAGATGTTTCATGGTCCAGATTTCTGGTTTCGCTTAAATCTTTGGACGATCTGGTGACAGTGAGCCAGCTTTTTGATGTGGAGAGGTTGCAGCAGGAGAGTGGCCTCCTCATAACGCATCATCTATTCTTGCACTTCCTTGGTCCCAATATTGAGTTTCTACCCTGTGCAAAAATCCAGCAGGAGCCAGAGCCTGCCTGTGTGGGAGCTGTCACTTGGGAACCATGGGAGTCAAAGGTCCGGAGCCTCGAGCCTGGGTGGGCTAAGCAAGTGAAGTCTCAGTTTGTCCCTCTGAAAAGTGGGGGAAAGGAGAAGGATCTCAAAAAAACCCTTGCAAGCTGGTCTGGGTGGTGCACACCTGTAATCCAAGTTACTGGGGAGGCTGTGGCAGGAGAATTGCAAGTTCAAGGCCAGGCTGGGCAACTTAGTGAGATCCTGCCTCAAAATAATAAAAGGGTCTGAGGATCTAGCTCTGTGGCAGAGCACTTGCCCAGTACGGATGAGGCCGTGGGTTCCATCCCAGCACAAAAACAAAAACAAAACCACCTGTCAGCCCCCTTGAATTTCAACACATCTCCTGAAATCCACCCCCAAGGAGGGTGGGAGGAGGAGAAGCCTTAAGGACCCAGAGAAGGTCCATGTTGGCATACCCAGCACACAGCGTTGGTGCTAATCCTCCCTGGGGCTTCTTCCTGCAAAGAAGGTACTTTATACAAAAGCTGTCATCATCACCCTAAACGTGGAATAAAAATAAAGCAAAAGGAGTCAAAGTGGAGGGATGTCCTGGGTCTCTTTGCAACCTCCTGATGCAGTAGGGCTGGCTGTCGCTTAAACATCGCGAGAGCAACAGAGAAGGGGGAGATACAAGAGGAAATCAAAGCAACAATGACGGCCAGACCTGGCTGAGCAGTGAATGACAAAATGAGGATGTAGATGTGCAGACATTGGGGGTTCCGTTTAATTTTTGTGTCTCCCTTTCTTCCAGCCAATTAGAGTTCTGCCCCACCTCCTCCTCTCTTTCTCTTCCGTCTAGGTCTCTATCTCCCTCTTTCTAGGTCTCTGTCTTCCTCTCTCCGAATTGAACCCTCGGGCTGGCGGTGGTGGACGCGAAGCTCCAGTTATTAGAGTCCCTCTTTGTCACCAGGCCCTGTGAAACTGCTGGGTCCTGGAGAGGCGAGGCAGTCTGCCTGGCAGCCCGAGGCGTCACACGGAGGCTGCCTCCTGGTTGGACTGGCGCTCCCCGGGGGCAGGGAAGTTTTCAATTCTTAGGGGATTTTGAAAAAGGGGGGTGTGGGGGGGAGACGCGTAGGAAGAAAAAGGGGAGGGGCTTCACGTCCTACCGGGTACCTCACGCAGCGTCACTTCTCGGTGGCCCGCCCTACCCCTGTCCCTCCCTCCCACGCCCACCCAGCGCTCCCCACACACCTGGTTTCCCCAAGTCCCGCCCCGCCCCGGGGCCCGCCCCTTCCCCTCCAGCCCCACCGCCACCCGCCACCCCACTTCGGAAAGCCGCAGGTCCCCCTGCTGGGAAGGGCACCAACATCCCGGCAGCCCTCCAGGGCCTTCCCAGCTCCCCTCCCTCCCCCATGGGGACACCACCCTTCCCCTGCGTCCGGTGCCCGCCTCGCTCGCTCCGGGAACAGTCGCGGCAGCCGGCTGGGCTCGGTCCCAAGGGGCGCGGCGACCAGTCCAGAGCCCCAGGTGGCCGGGGGCCCAGGCCTTTGGATCTGCCCACGCCCGCCGAGCGGCACGCGGGAGTCCCAGAGCCCCAGTGCGCTCCCTGGGGTCACAGAGACCTCCTCCCCCCGACAGTTGTCCTGCCTACGCTGGGAAACCGGACCCTCCCTCCCGGCTCTGGTTTCCCGAAAACTCCTGACTTGCAGATACTAAGAATGGCTTTCTAGATGTCTCTCCCCAACCCCCACGCCAGCCTCTGACTCCCGGCCTCACCCACCTAGGACCCCCGCCCCTCCCTTGCCCCCTCCCAGGACCCAGGCATCCTGGCCCTCCTCCGCCTCCTCTTTCCTTCTTCGGGACCGAGAACCAGAACCCGGGTCCCGGGTTCCTCTGCTCCCGGACTTACGATTCAGGGCACCCAGCCCCCTCCTACCCGAGACCCTGATGTCCCCGCTTCTGGCACCTCCTCCCTCCGAACCAGGTGTCTTGAGCCCCGCGGCCTGTCCTCCACGCGGACCTGGCGTTCACCCATCTATCTCTGTCCAGCTGTTATTTCTCGCCCTTTAGAGCACGCACGAGGAATGTGGGGCAGCCTTCCGATGCCTCCCGGAGCCTCCTGGGAGTCCCCGGACTTCTTAAAGCCCCCCCCCCTTGTGGTCCCACCTGTCCTCCCTAGGGCCTGGCTAGAGGCGGCTGGGTCAGAGGAGCCGGAAGAGATCCGCAGCCATGCCTGAGGCCAAACCAGGTGGCTACCAGGACCCCTTTCTAAGAGACGATGGGTCTTCTTTTCTAAATGGGGATTTGGGGCTCCTGTTTTTGTGAGTTGGGGAGAATGGGGTGCTTTCTCTGTAAGGAAATGTTTATTTATTTATTTTTTTACGTGGGATGGGTGCCCCATATCTGAGTAGGTTGTCCCTGTGTGGAAAGCTGGGGGAGATTCCTTCCTGTGTGAGGTGGAGGTGTTGCATGTCTTTGTAGGATAGGGGGGTCCCCTCCCCCTGCAAAAAAGAGGGTTTTTTTGTAGCGGATTAGGGATCCATTTCAGGTGAATGGGGATTCTCTGATTGTAAATCAGGGTTCCTTTTTCTCAGTGGGGGAAGGGTCTCTGGAATGTGGATTGGGGAGTCTGCGTGGTGGTGGGGTCCTTTGCATTTGGAGGGGGTATCCTCTAGGCAGGGATGGGGCTTCCTCCCTGGATGAAGACTGAATCTTTTTAGGAGTGATCGTGGGTGGGTATAGAGCTTAGGGGTTCCGGTCTGCATGGGACTTGGGACTCTTCTCCAATAAGGAGGTGGAGAGCCCTCTTTCCATGGGAATTGGGGCTGCCCTGTGTAGGAATTAGGGGATCTTCTTGGAATAGGAACCCAAGATCTTTCTTTTTCTCTTTTGCAGTTCTGGGGATCAAACCTAGGGCCTTGCATTTCCTGGGCAAGCACAGTGCCACTGAGCCACACCCAGCCCTGGAGCCCTTTCTTTCTGTACAGTTTGGGAGGTCCCTCTTCCAATGGGACTGGAGGGCACTTCTCTGTAGAGGCATGGGCTCCCTCTCTATGAGGAAGTCTGCACAGGAGACAGGCCCTGGGTGGTGGACCTCTTCTTGGCGTGTTGCGTCCCCTGGCATCAGGCCAACCAGGAGTGGGGTGGGGGTCCAGCCCCTTTCTGCCCCTGCGCCCCCATGGAACCAGCACCCCAGGGAAGGCTGCTGTGGTCAGCAGGAGGTGTCCAGTTTCTAGCCTAGAGGAAGAGCTAATTATACCCCCAGAAACCAAAAGGTCAGGGCCCAGTGGCCTGGGTAGCTGGGGCACCACCTGCCTGGGGTAGGGGAAACCTGATCTCACAGACTCAGGATTAGATATAAATTTACACCTAGAATGCCCACCCCCCACTTCTGGGTCTGAGGAAGGGGGGCTGGGGCCTGGACCCCTGGGTCTGAGGGAGGAGGGCTGGGCCTGGACTCCTGGGTCTGAGGGAGAGGGCTGGGGCCTGGACTCCTGGGCCTGGACCCCTGGGTCTGAAGGAGGAGGGCTGGGCCTGGACCCTGAGTCTGAGAGATGGGGGCTGGGGCATGGACCCCTGGGTCTGAGGGAGGAAGGTGGCCAGCACATGCTCAAGTGTGAACATTTCCTATCTCAGCAGCCAAAAAGGTCCCAAAAGGCAAAGATGCCCCCAAAGAAGTTCCCCCTAAGGAGGCTCCTGCAGAGCCCCCCAAAGGTGAGAGGGTATCCCTGGCCTGTCATCCCGTCTCCCTCTTGCACTCCTCTGTGCCCTCTCCCCAGCCTCTTCCTGGTCTTTTTCCTTTGGTCTGTCCCCACACAGCACCAGAGGTGACCAGCCCTCCCTGCTCACAGTCTGCCATGGCTCCCTAGTGCTAGGAGAGCGCCAGCCCCTCAGCCTGGCCTCAGGCTCCCATCAACTGGCTAGTTGGTCACCACGTCCTGCCCAGCTCCGAATGCCCCAGTCCATCTTTAAGCCTCTCCTACCCTAAAGGACCATTTAGTGTACACCCTCTGGTTCACATACGGGGAAGCCGAGGCTAAAGGGCTGGGGGAGTCTAGTTAGGTCACACAGGCAGCTATAGGACACACGGTCTTTCCCAGTTCAGGAAAAGCCACTCTGCCCCCATGGTCTCTGAGTCTACTGAACAGGGGGCCTCTTCCCCATGCCCTGCTGCTCGACCCTAGCCACTCTCTGATATCCTAATCCTGTCTCCTGAGCAGAAGCCCCACCTGAGGACCAGTCCCCGACTGCTGAGGAGCCCACTGGCATTTTCCTGCAAAAGCCAGACTCTGTATCCGTGGAGACTGGTGAGGGGCCTGAAGGAGGCTGGGCCTGGACCCCAGGTCTGAGGGAGGGGGCTGGGCCTGGACCCTGGGTCTGAGGGAGGAGGCACTGGGTCTCTCAAGCTCACAGTCCCCCTCTGAAGAGT